GCCTTTGTAAAAGATCAGATGGCTGTAGGTGTGTGGGTTGATTTCTGGATTCTCTATTGTATTCCATTGATCAGTGTGTATGTTTTTAGGCCAGTACCATGCTCTTTTGGTTATTATAGCTTTGTAATACAGTTAAAAGTCAGGTAGTGTTATACCTCCAGCTTTACTTTTTTTGCTCAGAATTGCTTTGGCTATGCATGGTCTTTTGTTATTCCATATACATGTCTGGATAATTCTTTCCATTTCTGAGAAAAATGTCATTGGAATTTTGATGGGGATTGCATTGAATTTGTATATCACATTGGGTAGTATGGACATTTTCACAATGTTGATTCTTCCAATCCAAAAGCATAGGATATCTTTTCATCTTCTTGTATCCTCTCTGATTTCTCTCAGCAGTGGTTTGTAGTTCTCATTATAGAGATTTTTCACATCCTTGGTTAACTCAATTCCTAAGTATTTTATTTTTTTGGTGGCTATTGTAAATGAGCAAGCTTTCTTGATTTCCCTTTCTGCATGTTCATTATTGGAGAATGGAAATGCTGCTGATTTTTGTGTGTTGATTTTGTATCCTGCTACTTTGCTGAAATCATTTATCAACTCCAAGAGTTTTTTTGTAGAGACTTTAGGCTGTTTGATATATAGGATCATGTTATCTGCAAAGAGGGACAGTTTGATATCCTCTTTTCCAATCTGGATGCCGTTTATTTCCTTCTCTTCTCTGATTGCTCTGGCTAATACTTCCAACACTATGTTGAATAGGAGTGGTGAGAGTGGACATCCTTGTCTAGTTCCTGTTCTTAAAAGAAAAGCGTGCAGCTTTTCCTCATTCAAGATGATGTTGGCAGTGGGTTTATCATATATGGCTTTAATTATGTTGAGATACTTGCCATCTATACCTAACTTATAGTGAGTCTTTATCATGAATGAGTGTTGAATTTTATCTAATGCTTTTTCAGCATCTATGGAGATGATCATATGGTCCTTGTGTTTGATTTTATTGATATGGTGTATCACATTTATTGATTTGCATATGTTGAACCAACCTTGCATCCCTGGGATGAATCCCATTTGATCATGGTGTATAATTTTGCATATGTGTTGCTGTATTCTGTTAGCTATTATTTTATTGAGGATTTTTGTATGTATATTCATCAAGGATATTGGCCTGTAGTTTTCTTTTTTAGTTGTATCTTTACCTGGTTTTGGTATCAGGGTGATGTTTGCTTCATAGAATGAGTTTGGGAGAATTGCCTCTGTTTCAATCTTTTGCCATAGTTTGTAGAGAGTTGGTGTCAATTCCTCTTCGAATATTTGGTAAAACTCTGTTGTGAATCAATCTAGTCTTGGGCTTTTCTTTGTTGGGAGCCTTCTGATAACAGCTTCAATCTCTTATTGTCATCTGTGACACAGCTATATTCAGGATGGGGTAGGGTCTGTTACAATGGGAT